GGTTTAAATAAGAATGGTTTCCATGGGATCCTATGTTTGAATACTGGGTCCCAGCTGGTGAAGAGTTCGGGGATGATGAAGAGGCGTAGTCTTGTTGGAGAAGGTGTGTCACTGGGGGTGAGGTGGGAAGGTTCTGAGGTTTCAAAAGACTGGGCCATTCCCAGTGTTCTCTCTCTGCCTCCTGCTTAAGGACCAAGCTGTGAGCTCTCAGGGTTCCTGCCGTCATGCCTCTGCTCCACCACCATGGACTCCAGTTCTCTAAAACAGCAAACCAGCTAAACATTTCTTTTTCTAAGCTGGTCACAGTGCTTTGTCACAACAATGGAAAAGTAACTATGACAGTTACAATCCATGCTGTTAGGAGTACAGTTCTGAGTTTTAACAAATGAACACAGCTATGTAACCACTGTTTCAATTAAGACACCAGTCAGTTTTACAAACTCTCCAAATTCTCCCACACCCTCTGTAGTCAACCCCTTTGCCCAATTCCAGATTCTGGTAACCACTGGCCTCTTTTCTATCTTTAGGACTTTACTTTTTCTAGAATTTCATATGAATGGAATCAAACATGCAATTATTTACCGGCTGGCTTATTTTACTTAGCACAATGAATCTGGTAACATCCTGGTGTTGCAAGAGTAGTAGTTTAAAAGTTCCATTGTATTGCTGAGTAGTAGCCCATTGTATGAACTCACCAGAGTTTGTTTTCTTATTACCCTATTGTCATTTGTAATGTTGGTACCTACAAATAAAAATGCTACAAGTACTTGCATAGAGACCTTTATGTGAACCAGGTTTTCATTTCATTTAGTCAAATCCCTAGAGATGGGATTTCATGGTATATACTGGGGGTATGTGCACATATAATATATATATATATATATATATATATATATATATATAGGGGAATAAAATCCAAACATATAAGTCAGCATTCAGAAAGCAGGTAAGTTAAGACTGGAGAAATTTAACTTATTTTTATTAATAATATCCAGCATTAGCAAGGAGATGGATGAAAGTGGTACTCCTATGCTGGGCTGGACATGGAGTGAATTATTGAAGCTTTTCTGGAGAATGATTTGGTAGAACTAATCACAACATATTAGATACAAGGGTCTCATTTCTACCCTTGGAAATAGTGACAATCATGTGTAGAGCAGATGTTTGTACTATGGATATCACTATGGAAAGGGGAGATGGTCTCAAAGACATTATTGAAGAATATAATGTATGCTTGTAACATATAAAAAGACAGACATTGGTGAGGAATGGGGACTATAGATGGAAACCATGGAGAAAAATCACAATCAATCAAAATCTTGAGTTGTAAAAGAAAGTCCCAATAGATACATCTACAAAAAACAAAACAAACAAACAAACAAAAAACCAGAAACCTCCCACACCTAAGGCGCAGGGAACATTCCAAACTAGGCTGTGAAAAGGTTGTAAAGCCAGAGTATGAGGGAATTTGCTATAAAGTTGTGTCTCTTAGTAATGCTAGGAGCTACTCCTGTAAAGTCTCACCACCATGACTGCCTGAACATGAGCTGAAGACAGCAAACGTGCCAACGTGGACAGCCCCACACAAAGAGCTACAGGCACTAAGGAATGCTGAGAGCAGCAGAGCACACCAATTGGCTATGTTTTCATAAATATATGCTTATAATAATAATTAGTGAAAAAAGAGGCCATGAATTTGAAAGAGAGCAATATAGAACTATGGGAGGGCTTAGAGGGAGGAAATGGGAGGGAGAAATACTGTAATTATATTATAATCTCAAAATATTTTTATTTCTCTCTCTCACACACACACACATGCACATTTATGTGTGCACGTGCACGTGTGAGTATATGATGTGTATGTGTATGTGTTTTCTGGAAAAGCTGTGGTGAAAATATAGTTGGAATTGGATGATGAAGGGTGCCTGGATTTTCCCCATGAATAAAGGCATTGAATGGTTCTTGGGAGAAGTGTGTGCTAGGATTATAATTTACATTCTCAGTATTTCAGATTCACTTTTACCAGAGAATAAAACATAGCAGTAGAAAACTGTGCCCTTCTGTAAGACACTAGTCAAAGACTGTCGGAACTGTCACTGAGTTTTGGAGTTGGAGGTTTCCCTTTGCCAACTAGCTTGTTTTGGGAAAGGGAACTGGTACATGACATGAGAACTCAGCCAGGACGCTTGACACAATATAAACAGATAGTGTTTTCCTAAGAGGTAAGTGCTTTGATAACCATTGCTTCTGAAAAAGTAATGGGACACACAAGGGAACAGAAATAACAGGCAAATGGCTAAAGGTCTAGACCCAAAGCCATAAAAATTGATGTTACATTAAAATTAGATTTTAAACATGACACTAAAAATAAAAATCCTAAGGAAAATACCAATATGGATTTAATTCCATAAATCATTCTAAATGCTAAAATATACTGGATAAGAACTTATATAGTAGAAGGGTTAAGATATTTAATGATAGAAGCTCTCTAGTTCAGAAGATTACTCAATGAGCAAACATCTGCTGTGCAGGTAAGAGGATCAGAGTCTAGACCCCCAGACCCATTTGAAAGCCTCAGATGGTGAAACTGAGGAACCCTTAAGCAAACTGGCCATATCTGCAAACTCTGGGTTTGATTAAGTGACCCTGCCCCAATGCATAAGGTGAATAAACAATCAAGGGAAGTTCCTAACATCAACTTTAAGCTTTCTCATGCATGTACATACACAACTATACATACAGACACACACACACACACACACATGCACGCACTCCCAAACATAAAAAGGGAAAGTCGTTTAAAGCTTTATAAAACCAAATAGCTTAAAAAGTTGTACAGATTTCTTAAGCAGTGCACCATGGAAAAAATTACCAGTGGCCAACAAACAAATGTGTGAGGAAAAGGTCCAATCAGATAATCAAATAAAATGTCAAAAATGAGAATGAGAATGCTTTCACAAAAATGGAAATGTTAATAAATGATACTTTATAATCACCAATATTCAATATATAATTCATGTATATTAAATCTTTGATCTATTATTAAGTCTTAAATTTGTACATACACCTTAGGTACAGAAATTGTAGTCCCCCCCACAGGAAAAAAATAATAAATGTGCACAGGGTGTTAGTAAGGAGGACATTGCTACAATATTCTTTATACAAAAAAGGATGATTTACCTAAATATTAAAACTGACTGGAAATAAATGTATATAAATACATGCGTTATGCAATCATTAGCTTCAGTGTTCAGGAAGAATAACTGAAAGTAAAGTCAAGGAATCCTCCCTGAAAATTGAAAATGCAGACTTAAAAAATCCGTACCAGAGTCCAAATATTTCTATAAACATACACTACAAAGAAATTTTATTCAAGGCCTATATTATCACCATTAAGTATGGTTACCTACATAGAATGAAATTCATTTATTTTGGTTTTGTTTCTCTATAGTTTCTAAACTCTCTGTCATGAGCATCCTAAAGTCATTTTCATTAAAATAAAAAAGAGTGTGCCCTACCATGAGGAGGGAGCAAGTACAGTGTTTCAAACAGAAAATAAATCTGAAAACTAAATTTAGTCCAATGGACCTTTCTGTTTATTGTTCCCTCTTGGATTTTTTTAGAACTTTAAATGCCCAGAAAAGTGCCTCTAATTATAACATTTTCAAGCTTGAGAACAACTCGTTCTGAAATCTCTCCTTTATGAGTAGCAAGGCATAATCTTATTTGCCTGCTGGCAAACTTCATTTTCCACTTGTGTAGAACAGAAGACAGATTGACATGTAGCTGTGCTGTAATTACGTCCTGTAAGTGATTCTTTCCTCTCTTTGGCTCCTGGAAACAGTATGCATACTGACCTTACTAAAAAAAATTAGCACAGATTCAATGGTACACTTGGATGAACTAGATAAAACCCAATCCCAAGCGTCCTTTATTATTTATCCCCGAGAACAGTAACTTTTGCTAGTGTAGAGAAAGGGGGAGGCTGCCTTAAGCCAACTGCTTGTGTCTTGGAGGTTTCCTGATGAGTATCTTGTGGAGAGGGCCTCAGTCTCTAGACATCCTATAGTCTACTCCTCCAACACACAGGTCCATCTGCATGTGCACACGCACACACAGCAGGGATTCCTGTGTTCCAACACGTCTCACAAGACTGTGCTGTGAAGGTCATTAGTATGGGGAAAGAAACCTTGGAAAAATGTCACAAATGTTTGATTAACCCAGACATAAAAATGTTGTCTTGATGGGAAGACTAGCAAGTAATTTATTTTGGAGTCACAAATTCTAGTAACAACTCTAAATCTGAGACCAACTTTCAATTCACTATCTTTTATCGAGGAATTCATGAAAAATAAAAAAGAAACAAAAAGATGTGTTCCTTTTTTATTATTTTTTGTGAGACAGCGTCTTATCATGCTGCTCAAGTTGGCTTTGAACTTTTGGGTTCAAAGTATCCCCCTACCTCAGCCTCCTGAGTAGTTGTAACTGGCTAACAGGCAATTCTATTCTCCATGTTTAGAATGCGATTTTTTTCCCTAACTGAATAATAGGTAAACAGACTGTAATATTTATCTATACAACATAAGAATGAAGCCACAGGAGACAAGATGGAGAAGTGTGAGATCAAAGACTCCGAAGAAGACTGGGCAACTCCAGATTCTTGACCAATGAGTGTGGGGGCAGGAACACCAGGATTCTTAGGGCAGCAAATCCCTTTTGTTTGATGATGCAAGAACAGAAGCATTTCATTATGTATTTGTCGAAACACATCAAATATGTAGTTCAAAAAAACTATACTAGGACTGGGGATGTAGCCAGTGTGTGACCAGCATGAGTGATGATCTAGAGGGGGTATGGGAAATTCCAGGGCTTTCTGTTCAGCTTTTCTGTAACCCTAACCCCCCAATAAGTTATATAATTTGAAAAACACAGAAACACTAACAACGCAAAATTTACATTTATATAAATAAGCATTTATATATAAAGAGGGATAAACTTACTTCCGGTTCACAATCAGCCACTCTCGAATATAGGTCTGAACACAGTCCCTGACATGAGGATCCAGTTCAACTCTAATTAGATGAAAAATAAGATAAAACAGGTTATTACTGAGCTAAAGTGATAAAATAATTCCTTGCCATAATAAAGAGACAAAACACCATTTCAAATCTTTATCAGTAAAAATGTTAGGGATCTTCTTGCCCATTCATTTTAGGCAATGATATCTGTTCTTAGAAGAAACAACTATGTTGGCATTTTATGCTCTGTGAATTTCTTTGTTATTGCTAAACTGCATCTAAGCCTGAAAGCACTAAGAAACAAGTAGGGAGAAACAGCTATAATTAAATACCACTCCCCCAAAATAAGTTCAATAGTTATTTCTAAGAGATAAATTTTTTTGCTATTGTGTAATTTTGCTAGGGCACATGTATTTTCCATTTAGAAAGCCAAGAATAGCTGTCTTCGACTTTAATGGTTTTGTAGACATAGACTTTGGATTCCTGTCATACCTGCTGAGAAGTGTGCAATTAGAGATAGTCTCCATGAGTTTCACAGTCTGGAAATCAGAAACAATAATAGTCGCAAAGCATTTGGTATTATTAGAAACAGAGTAGTACTAAATAGGTGTAAAAGCTGAAAGTTTTTTATTTAAGTATTTTTCGAGATTATATTAGAATTATATCATTTCCCCCTTTCCCTTTCCTCCCTCCAAATTATCTCATGTTCTTATTCAAATCCATAGCCTCTTTTTCTTTAATTGTTGTTACACCTATAAATGTATATAAGCACACACACACATACATATATACATATATATATCCATAAATACAACTGTCTCAGTCCACATAATGTTACTTGTATGTATATGTTTCCAGGGCTGACTGTTTGGTATTAGATAAGCAATTAGTGTGCTCTTCCCTGGGGAAGATTATTTCTCTGGCTCTCAGCATTCCTGTAGTTGTTTTTCTGGGGATGAGGCTATTGGGCTTTCCCCCTTCCAGTTATACTACAAGTCTTAATTTTGCATTTGTAAAGCAGAGATGCAATCATTTAGATCTTGGATGTCCTCCTAAGACAGCATGCTAGGCTTAGTCCCTGGCATGACTGACTCAACTGAGAAGATAAATTCTTCAGGACGTGGAGTCTTACGGAAGGTCTTGATCACTGGGGACATGCTCTTTTTTTTTTTTAATTTTATTTTCCAGTTTAAATTTAGATAAGAAACAAGGTTGCTTCTCAAGTCAGTTCCAGGTCCCTCTCCCATTCCCTCCCTTCCTCCAGAGCCCAGTGATAGCAGGGATCTGGTTCTGGGGAAATAAGTATTTCCTACACAGAGTAGAGCTGTACACATGGCTAGCTTGCTATGTGAAGGAGATCTGACCCAAGAAGAGAACAAAGGGACTTCCCACATCCCAGCTATCCCGGCACCTTGAAACACAGCCCAACACGAAGGCACCTCAAAGCAACAAGGACAGGCACCATGTTTTGCAATCTCCTTCCTGGAACTTTTGGGGAATGTGAGGAGATTCGAAATGTTCAAGGGAGTGTGATTCTTAATTTCGGTTTTAAAATGAATGAAAATGAGAGGTCACTCAAAATCTCTAAGGAGCCAGGAGTGTTCATCCTATGGCTGCTTCTGCTTCATTCAGCTGTGAGCCCATGGTTGCCCAGGCCACGCTCAGCAACTCAGCTCAAGTAGATGCTTGAATATGCACTCTACAATGCTTCTTCTGTGTCTCCCCTTGAGGGAACTCCAGCAAAGGAAGCGAGTTTCCCTTATCTTTTTTTCTTGGGCCACAACAGATGTTCAATAAGCATGCTTGTAAACTTAGATTACTAACTCCATCAAGTTCTTTGTATGAAAACAAATAAATTGTCTTTAAAATTCCTTTACATTCATTGTTTTATGTGCATGTGTGCACATGTTTATATGTGGCAAAGAGAAGACAACTTGAGTGAGTCAGTTCTGGGAATGGAGCTCAAGTTGTCAGGATGGCAGCCAAGTGCGTGTACCTGCTGAGCCGTCATACTGGCCCATAAAGTGATTTCAGTAGAGGCATTTCAATCGTTGTTAGAAGACTCTTGACCCTCTGCAAATAGAGGCCACAGGCTTCCTGAGGTCACATAACAAGCCTATGGTCACTGAGGGGGAACCCAGCAGTCCAATTCCAGGGTGTCTAATCTTAGCTCCTTTCAGACTATCCATTCCATTCCACTGCATCCCTTGAACTGTGTCATAGTTCCAACAAGGCTTTCCAAAGCCTTTGGCTAAACCAATTAGAAACGGTGTACATCTGCCTACCATGTGTGAAGGAAGCCCTATGCTAGGTCCTCAGCACCACAAAACAAAACAAACAAAAAACAACTGTCTTCATCTACGTAACAATACTACACGTGCTTTGCGTTTTAATGGACTGAGAAAGTTTGCTCCTTTTAAAATAGACATGTGTGTGTGTTTGTATGTGTGTTGATGAGACTGTGTGTATGTGTGTGCATGTGGGGGCCATAAATAGATGTTGCATATCTTCCTTAATTACTTTTTAGTTTTTGAGGGAGGGTCTCTCAGTGAACCTGGAGGTCACTAATTGGCTAGACCGGCTAGCCAGCAAGCCCCAGGGACACTCTGCCTCTCTAGCACTAGATTTACAAGTGCATGTCACCATACCTTGCTTTTTCTGTGAACTCAGGTCCTTATACTTTTTAGTTAAAAAATGTTATTAACTTCTTGTAATGCTAGAGCATTTAACCATGGCCCTATAGCCCACCCTACCCCAAAGTTTGCTTCTTTTCAAGAGCATTTCAAAACTGGGTCTGCTGCCGCACACCTGTGAACCTGGCACTTCGGAGGCAGGGGCAGGAGGACTGCTACTTTGAGTTCAGCTTAGGCTATACAGCGAGACCCTGTCTCAAGAAAGAAAGAAGAAAGAAAAAGAGGTTCAGAAGCAACACCCTTCCCTTCTCATATTTTAATAAAATAATTTACCCTTCCTCTGGCAGAGAGGGCTGCAAAGTCCTACATTCCTTGGGTGTGAAGGCCACATGCAAGTCATCGTCGGTGAGGTCCCCCAGCTCCTGGGCCAGTTCCGCATCCAAGCTGTCTAAGTGGGTCATCACAAGTCCTTCAAAGTCCACCGGCTCCACGGGCTCATAAAGCTGAGGCTGGAGGGAGAGGGAGAGAAGACGGCCGTTTCCACCGGGCTTCCTGGTGGCGTACACAGACATACAGGCACGCAGCAGCAGTGGATATCTGCCTGGCCTCCCCTTCAACTCAGTGTTTCACTTTTACCTAAAAGCTGGGGAAGCTGTCAAAATGCAGTGGTGACAGGACAGGGGAAGAGAGGCAGGAGCAGAGAGTCAAGTCACAACATGATGAGTAATTAAAATCACACCCGAAGGCAGAATTTTTCCCCGCTTAATTGCAGCTTGATGAGGAATCCTGAGGAGATCCAAAATGAGATCACAGGCTTTGAGGAATTTCGATCATTTCTACTGCAGAAGCTCTCTGAGGCCACGCTTTGTTTAAACAAACACAGTGAAGAAGAGAAAGAAGGCAATTTTCCAGAAACTCGGGAAAACACAGCACTCCCCTGGCTGTGTGCTCAGACACAGTGTTTCCCTTGGCCTGAGAAGGGAAAAGTCTATATACTGCTGCTCAAAGCCAGCACTTTAGACACACTCCCAGCTGACATGGAGCCAGGCTTGCGGCTAAAGCCCTTTAGGGCTGAGACTTCCAAACACTACTGGTTGGGAAGAAACTTACTGGACTGAAGCTGGGTGAGCAAACCCTGAGTGGCTGCTGAGGAGAGCTGTCCTGTCTTCATTTCATCCTCCCATGAAGGGGGGAGAGAGAAGACACGAGAGGACAGACACCCAGGGCAACTGAAACAATGCTGCTCTTTAGTTGGTAGTATCAAGAATTGGCAACATTTTGCCAGTTCCCTATTAACAAAATATGTTTTCTAGCTTATGGCATGCAAAGATCCAGGAACCAGTGCCTGAAGGCATTGAGAGACACTTAGATCAAGGAGATTGGCACAAGAATGTGAGATTGAGACCAGCCTGGTCTACAAGAGCTAGTTCCAGGACAGCCTGTTCGAGAGAAACCCATCTCGAAAATCCAAAAAAAAAAAAAAAAAAAAAAAAAACAGGACAACAATATCAACAACAACAGAGGCTGCAACTCTTTAAGTGTCCGTTTATGGAGGACCGTTGCAGCCCAAGTGAACACGGTTCCTCTCTACCCCCAAACACCACAGAACAAAAGCCCCAGATTCCTGACTTGTGCTATGGGAGGGCAGGCCTGAAGGAAGGGCTGACAAAACTGGTTTTTCATCCCCTTGAGTCTAAATACCAGCAGGTTTCCAGCTGGGGTGAAGAAATAGTGCAGCTGAAGAGGCAAAGGGCAAAAAGATTCCAGAATGTAACTATGGCTTCCACTATCACCTCGCCACCTCTTCTGTCCTGGTAGTAATGGGAGACAGGAATAACCTAACACTGGAGAGAGAAGATAAAGTTGCCTGGGGTGGCTGCATCTGCAACCAGCTAAAACCCAAGCAGCTGGACACACCTGTAAGGGGTTTTTCTTGGTGGGATCATTTGAGACAGGAAGACACACCTTAAATCCAGATCCTTTGAAGTCATATGACCCACCCTAGATCTGGGCCACACCTTCTAGTGGCAGCCCACATCCAAGGGCATGGAAGACAGAAGATTTTCCTTTTTACCTGCTTGCTCTCCATCAAGTTCGCCTATCCTGCTGCTGAGGCATTCCTTTCCTGACATTAGAACCTACTTCTTTGGGATTCCAGTGAATACTAAAGACCAGCTGAGAATCCAGCCTTGTGGGCTGAACAACTGCTGAATGTTTGGCCTTTCTGTCAAAAGACAGCCATTGTTATACTACCCAGAACACAGCCTGTAAAGGATTTAATAACCTCCTTTTAGTATATGGATATTCAGTCCGTCAATTCTGCTGCTCTAAGGAACCCTGACTAAATATGCTGCCCTACTTCCCCCCAGATTCTTTCAGATGTCTGAGTTACACAGTGCTCACTGTCATCAGGATGAAATGGAGGCAGAGGTGAGGGTTACAGGATAGAGCTCAGCAGCTGAGTGCAAACAGCTCCCCTTGATCATCAGGAGGCAAGAAGACAGGAAGGTCTCCCCGGTTCTGACATGAAGGCAGCTAAGGAAGGGACCACAGTACTCTTGAAGGCCTTTCCCAATCACTCTCACTAGAACCCAGTGCAATAACATGCTAATTATCCTCATTTTCAGATGACTTAATAATTTGCCATTGATGAATGACATGGCTAGGAAGTAGCATGTCTGGAATTCAAATATAGTCAGGCTGTGTTCTTAACAAGTATAATTTCAATCGTTTTCTCTTATAGGTCTTCCATAGAATCGGTATTTTGTAAGATAACTAAAATACAAGGCAAATCGTTAAGTGTGCATCACAACAGGTAAAAATGCATTTACAACTATCCACATATTCTGCTCAGAACTTCTCATAGGATTGAATGCTCAGGTATAGTAAATAAATGAATGACAACTCAACTCAAACATAAGTAATGAAATGCACTTAAAAAGCATTGTGAACCATAGTTATGCCTAGTGAACGAGCATTAAGCACTGGAAGGTAGAAGCCTCATAGAAAAATGTATCTATGTGCAGCTGTCAGAGAAAAAAAGAGTCCAGTTCAGCTAAAATAAAACACTTGCCATGTTCCTGAAAGTCAAAGCTATAAAAGGTGAAAACCCAGTACGTGTTAAAGGGACAGATGGTCCAAAGATCAGGAGCAGACAATGGTCTGCCCCATCATCTGGCAATTACTCAGAGGTCCTGGCAGACCACCCCAACCAAAATTCCATCTCATCTCTATCACTATTTCCCTTCCTTGTTTCATTCTTCATAACCCCTCTGCCCTCATCACAGCTGACATTCACTTATTTGTTTACACCCACCTCCTATTCTAAAATGTTCCACAAGAACAAAGGATGGGTTCTTTGTTGCATTAATGCTGTTATCCATAGCTCTTAGAGCAGTTCCTGGTACAGAGTAAGACCCAACAAACATTTCCTTAATGGATGAAAAAGTATTGTCACCATTCTACATTTAGCAAACAAAGCTAAAGGCAGAAAGTTTCCTCTGCCATCAGTGGTTTCAAAGTACTTTGTGACCTAAAAGAAGCTTGCTTTCCTGCCAACGGAAATCTTCACAGATGCCACTGTAGATGCTGAGATGGCATCATGACCATCAATCTGTTCTGTTTTGTTTTTAACAAATCAGATGTGTGCGCACATGACAAGTTAGTGTACACAATGTGAAGGCCAGAGGTCAACCTGAGGCTCTATCGTCTATCAACCCCAGAAGTCATCTATCTTGGTTTTGGAGGCAGGGGCTCTCACTGGGACATGGGGTTATTAGGTGAGACTGGCTTGCCAGTGAGCCCCAGGAATGCTCCTGTCTCTAACTTCCCAGCACTGGGATTGTAAGTAGGTGCCACCACCCCTGGCATTTTTAAGTGGGTTCTGGGGAATTGGACTCAGATCCTCATGCTTCAGTGTTAAGTACTGTACGCAGTGGGCCATCTCCCTGGCCTGTTTTGATCCCTGTTTGTAGTGACCATAACAAAGTGCCTGCAGTGCATGCAGAATGCGTGCATTTTATCCTCCACTCTCCATTTTGTCCTCCACTGTGAATGTGCATGGAAACTACACGGACCACTTCACTTTCCATCATGTCCCTCCAGCACAATCAACAGCACAGAACAGCTAACTCTGGAAAAAATGAGCGAAAGAGAGCAACAGACATCAGAGGCACCAAAGAGGCTCAGAGTTAAGAAGTCAGCACTCAAGTCATCCTTAGTTGGCAAAGGAAAAGGGTGCTGTGTTTCACAGAAGCCAAAGTGCAGACAGGAAGGAACGTATCTCAGGCATGAGACCTCCGTAAAACAAGAATGTTAGACGTACAAACACATCCAGTAACCATGGTGCTCAGGTGCATGCCCAGGGTGTGGTTTTTTTACATCCTTTACTTCATGCAGAGCTGTCAGGTTCTGGCTGTTCCTTTCCTTTCACTTTAGACTTTTCTTGTATTGCTTTTTAAAATAGTGTATTTTCCTCCAGAAAATGTACTTAAGGTTATTAACCACCGCACAGGTCTTCAGTCCCCTTTAGAGCACAGATCCCCAAACCTTTCTTTTATGTACTTAACTACACCTTCTACTTTTCATAACCAGAGAAAGGGTTTTACCTTTTACAGTTTGCTTACAGAGATGGCTGACACCAGATCTCTGGTTAATTTGCTCCCATGACAGTGGCAGTAGAGAATGCCAAAGCTGGTGGGCATCTCAGGCCAGGACATGGGATGACCAGAGGCCCATCTCTCTGTCCTCAAAACCCTGACAGGAGTGTTAGGCAGACCCAATTCACCACCACGTCTGAAAATCTCATTCTAAATGACAGCTCTCTTTCATATTAAAGCATGAAAAATGTAAAAGTACTTTATTGGGCTGGTGAGATGGCTCAGTGGATAAAAGTGCTTGCCCTCAAGCCTCATAACCTAAGTTCAACCCCCAGGATCCATGTGGCAGAGAGAGACAGCAAGCACTTACAAATTGAACTCTGACCTCTACTGGCATGCCGTAGCACATTTGTTCATGTGTACACACAAAATTAATGTAATTTTTTAAAAGTATGTTATCTATTTTGAAAATATTTGTACACACAGTCATCATAACAGGCTTTTATAGCTAGCATTAAAAACAAAAACTGAATAAAACAAAAGGAGACAATATAATGTACTGCTTCCAGTTCATTTTTAAATCTATGACAGAGAGCAGTATTTTGTAAGGATTACCTCCAGGGGTAGCATGTGATCCTTGCTTAACTACACATCTACAACTCAGAGCATGCAGGGCAACAAAAGAAACCTCCTCCCTGTATACGCCTTCTGATAGTTGCAATATTCCCCACTCCCTGAGAATCTTTAAGTGACTCTCAACCTGTATCACTGGGGATCTGTAAACATTCTGAAGCAATGTTAAAATACCATTGGTTGCTATCCTTTGGAATTCTGACTTAGCTGTTCTGGGGTTGGGAGGGGCAGTGACTAGAAGTATAAGGAGAAGCTGGGTGTTTCTAATGGATCCGCAGGGCTGAGGACGCATCTACTGGGTCTTCTCAGCTCTTCCAGAAAGCTTTTGCCTCCTATCATATTATGGATCATTCTTCGTAATGCCCATCACATTTGAAGCCAGTGCGGACCTCTGGATGACTTGTCTTGCCTAACAGATCACAAAGCCTCAGAGAGCTGGATCATCTCCTACTTACCTTTTAATGTTCGGCAAAGTCTCTATAGTGCCAAGTACTCAAAGCAAACACTACTACCCACTATTTACACAGGCTCTCCTATAGAACCCTATGTTGATACTATGGAGGTAACATAAGCTGCCCATTTTACAGAAAAGGGAACTGAAATCTTCCGAGAGGTTAAGTGACTTGTCCCAAATTATACAGCCAGTAAGTGACAACCACCTTTCTCCTTAGGCTCATTTGATCCCAAACACTACTCTTGCCAACAGCAATGACTGAACTTCATCTAAATATATCCCTTAATCAGTCATTTATATCAACATATGAGGTTATGAAAATTATCATATTACTAAAAACAAAAGAAATGGTCAAGATGCACTTGGTCTTAGTTTTTAGTTACCAAAATGATGTCCAAGCAGTCTCTTCAGTCTCTGATTTAATATTGTTTCTAAGGCTCTGGTGGCTTGAGTGATAAGCCACTCCTCTGCCTTGTTAAAAGTGACTCTTTGAAATGGTCCACTATTTTTCTAGGAAAAGACATGTTCTCAGGGTAATGTTCTCAGGGAAAATCACCTTGTAATCTGGTGATTTCTCCTGGGAGCCTTGCCTGAGAAGGTGACTGTAGGCGAGGCATGGTCACACATTCCCACCCCACCACAGGAGAGCGGATGATGCCAGGGAGCTGGGGGTTTCGAAAGCAGAGCACAGGGTTTGAGAAGGTAGGTCAGGTATCTTGACTCCCACAGTAGAAGAAACGGGGCAAGTCTGTGCTGAAACTGGAGGGGAGAGCTCGGGGAACCACTGAGGAAACTACATTGTAACAAGAGGGAATAAGAACATGTGAAGAACAGTTATATACAAACAGGACCAGGATTGGAAGAGAGCAACTAGAGAAGTGATTATTGCAACATGCTAACCTTTCCTTCATACCTTCTGTTAGAATTCCGGCAGCTAAGCCACATGTTCATTTGACTCCCCAGCTACTGAAGTAACTTATCAAAATTCACTTCTGTCAAAACCTTCTAAGGAGAGAGCAAACTACTGAAAGTATATTTTCAAACATTACATTGTTTTCCTTAGTAATTTTCCATTTAACACTTCTGCAATAATGCTAGGCTACGGTGTTATCACAAAGGCTGAGGAGGGGATGAGGTGTTAAACCTGCAAACTTCCTTAAAACCTTCTTTACTATGTCCACACGATTTATTTCCCCGGCAGCTGCTAGACAGAGCTCTAGTCTTAATATTTTTTAAAGGCAATCACCAAAGTTCCCCCACATTGTTTAAAATTTAAAAGCACATCCAATCACTTTTCAACAAAAATTTACACACTTTGAAATACAACATGAGTCAGAAATCACCCACTTAGGTTTATATGTAACATATCCCAGTTTACTTCAAGAATACAGGCACCATAGCCTGAAGTTCTATGTCGACAGGAAAATATGAATAAAAAGGGTGGCCTAGCAAAGCTCCAAAGTCACAAACAGGGTTTTCAAAAAGATGTCATCACAAGGTAACCTCTCACAGTGAAGGTGCTATATATGTGCTAGCACTGCTTCGATAATGACACAACACATAAACTATCCTTCTGAAATAACCACAGATCACTCCAGTATACATACCTGAAGACACACAGTTAAGGCGGCGGGGAAACTGTTACAGGCGACAAAATGGCGGATACAGGAAACCGGGGAAGGTTACAAAATTTCTAAGAGCAGAAGTGGTTTTGAAGTAATAACCAGAAACAAAAAATAACCTAACCTTCTCGAGATAACCACTAGATCAGCCAGAGAGTGTGGCTGTGGGCTGTGCTGTGTGAGGAAGTGAAGGTAGAGCAGGCTCAGCTAGCTCAAAGGAAGTGGCTCCACTCTGGGTCACAAACCGTCTCGGTTAAGACGGTCTTGCCTCACCCAGCACACATCTGGCCTTCAGTCCATAAATAATATGACGCACATATGCACCACCAGTTGGCACCTTGCAAGGGGAAAATGGTATGTTTTAAAAACAAAGATATGTTCTCCTGTGTGATAGATTTCACTGTTGTGAAGTTCTAGGCAGGGCCAACTACCACCACAGCAAGGATCAGTGACACCTGGAATGGGCTCAAGGGGATGCAAAAGGGCGAGAGAGAGAGAGAGAGAGAGAGAGAGAGAGAGAGAGAGAGAGAGAGAGAGAGAGAGAGAGAGAGAGAGAGAGAGAGAGAGAGAGAGAGAGAGAGAGAGGGAGGGAGGAAAGGAGGGAGGGAGGGAGGGAGGGAGGGAGGGAGGGAGGGAGGGGCTCTAGACCTTGACTGAGCAGAGGTTAAATGGCCAATAAAATGCCCAGATTCACCTAACCATGATCCTGAGATTGATAAATTTCATAGTATGTAAATTTCACCTCCAAGAAAATTATTTCATAAGAAAGAGTTGTAGCTTGGGCTTTTAAGATCTGTCAATTAAATATTTCCAACAAGAGCATGGGTTTGTGTAGCCTAAAAAAGTCCCCTAAGAGCCGGGCGTTGGTGGCGCACGCCTTTCATCCCAGCACTCGGGAGGCAGAGGCAGACAGATCTCTGTGAGTTCAAGACCAGCCTGGTCTACAGAGCTAGTTCCAGGATAGCCTCCAAAACAATACAGAGAAACCCTGTCTCGAAAAACCAAAAAAAAAAAAAAAAAAAAAAGTCTCCTAAGTAGAGAACATCAGAATCACAGTCTTGGGCTATATTGTTCTACGCACATCCTGTTTGGCAAAGGGAGATGTCTGATGTCTAGAGGCAGGCAGAGTCAAAAAGTGATGGGCAGAGAATGTTAGGTGCAAAATGAGTAAAGTCCAGCTGGGGGGCAGTTTCGATGCTGGGCACCTCTACCCCTGACCACTGGTCAAACAAATCTGTATCACATACTTACTAGCTGAAGGGAGGGGAAGCCGGATGTACTAATGCTGTGCCGGTGGTACTGTCCCAGGCTGGGTGGGAGTGTAAACTGCTTTCTTATTTCCGATGATGAATACCTTGAATTAAAATAGAAAAATTTACATTATTATTTTTTTTAAAAACCTGCAAAAATGACAATGCAATCTTTGGCTGAGTAGTGAGCAGAAGTGACCAAGGTGCACGCAGCAGTCTGTTAGTGGATGCTGTGGCTTTTGGTACTAAATTACCCTACAGCAATTCACAGGGGCCAGAGTACCTGCAATCATGGCCACCAGCCTCTGCTTGAAGGCTGAAGGCAGAAAGGCCCTGAGGTGCAACATAAATATCCTAAGCTTCTGACTCCTGGTCTCCCAGAAGAGCAGCCTCCATGTAAGGAAGTCTCGTTTCTGGCTCTCCTCACCTGCCATTTTAACCCTGCCACTTTCCATGAAGCAGCTGCGGCCTTTGGCTCGGCTGACACTAAAGCGGTGTGCATTTGAGACTGACTGCTGGAGGAAAACATCCACTTTCTTGCAAGCACCTTCAGTGAGACCCAGAATCCCCAGCATTGTTTCTTCAACAGCTTCCACTAAAGCAACCCTCTGCACATCACTAAAGCGACCGTCTGCACATCACTAAAGCGACCGTCTGCACATCCATATCGGCCTTGCACGTCAGCTCACTGCCCTGATGACTTGGACCCGTTTACATGGGAGAAAGCTGCTCTTCAGCATCTCCTCACACCTGTGAGCCCAAACCCTGACCAACGACACGGAGGACACTCATTTGCTAGGTCACTGGAGCTCACAGACATTTCTCATCATGTCATTTGATGGTGGCTGACTTCTCAGACAAGTTCCCAAAAATGTACTCATAGCGCAATCAGGTCAAATCGTACGAAATCAGAATCATTAATGGATTCAACTAGAAACGAATATGATTACTAAAGATCAAATATGCTGCATATTTGAAACACAATGCTCCTGTGTACTATGGAGATATAAAAAAATAAAATAAAGCTTACATTTCCATCATGACAATGTACAGGACATGAGCCTTCCTAGCCTTCTGTGTGAAGTACAGAGATGGGCAGGAGATTGCTAAATGTGGTCATCACTTCTCCCCCCACAAAAGCACCCTGTTATCTTGCAAAATTCCCTACTCATCTGTGTACTGCTTAGGCAGAAATACGGGACAAGTGGTATGTATACACATAAACCAAGGCGGACCCATCGGGTCACCTTCCTAGAACTCACCTACTGAGGAAGAAGTAAATGCTTGGCACTCGTTCATGCTCCTGCTGGCCCTTGTGCTAGGGCCTGGTGAAATATGGAATGTCACAGAAAGGGGCAGCAGGAATATGAACTGTGCCACTAATTTGCTAAGGCATTGTCTTCATTTAACATTTGAATAGTAAAGGAAAACACTGTGTCAGGGTGAGTAGTCTATTATAGTCTATGAGTCATCAGAGAAATGTAAAGCAGACCACAAAGATATGTCTCTTCACAAGCATGAAGATGACCAGAACAGAGCACTGAACTGTCAGTCACAAGTGATACTAGACGATGCTAGATGATAGAGACTCTCTCTCTCTCTCTCTCTCTCTCTCTCTCTCTCTCTCTCTCTCTCTCTCTCTCTGTCACACACACACACACACACACACACACACACACACCCATTGGTAGGGACATGAAACAATCTGGCAATTCCTCATGAAGCTTAGCATGTATTTTCCATATATACAAATTCTCCCTCCATGAGAAATGAAAACATAAAATTTAAATGCCAACATTCACAACAGTATTATACACAGGATATGCAACAACTAGTTGGCAGTGGTGGCACAGGAGGTAGAGGCAGGTAGATCTCTAAATCTGAGGCCAGAAGGGTCTATAGAGTGAGTTCTAGGATAGCCAAGACTGCAAGGAGAAACCCTATCTCAAAACAAACAAACAAACACGCCCAGCACTGTTCTTAAGAGTCCAAAGGTGGCCGGGCGGTGGTGGCGCACGCATTTAATCCCAGCACTCAGGAGGCAGAAGCAGGTGGATCTCTGTGCCTTCGAGGCTAGGCTAGACCGATAGCCTCCGAAACAATACAGAGAAACCCTGTCTCGTAAAAACCAAAAAAAAAAAAAAAAAAAAAAAAAGAGTCCAAAGGTGGAAACAACACAAATATCCAGTAGCTGAAGGATGCACAAAAAGTGGTCTATCATAAATGGAACATTACTCAGCAAAGAAAGGAACCAAGTACTGATATGTATAGTAGTACATGGGGGATCCCAACAGCATCATTCTAAGGGGATGTGAAATTCCAAGAATAGTAAAATGTACAGACCAGAAAGTAGATTAGTGGTTGATAAGGGTGAATGGGATTAGAGAGTAATGGAAAGTGGCTCTGAGCAGAGTTTCTCTTTGAACTGATGAAAACGCTCTAACTTCTGTTGGCAGATCAGTAGTTCTGACTATATTAAGAGTAACTGGACTGTGCACTTTAAATATATGTGAGGCATAGATACTGTTTCTAAACTGTGGTAGATCTAGATAAAAGTTGCAAGTGTCAGTACAAAATAAGGGTGAATGAAGAAACCCCCTTGTCTAGGGTGGCAACTAAAAATGGGGGAAGCTTGGGTTCTGTCCCACATTTAGTGAAACTGATTTTAATCAGAAATTGGAATGTCACCAATTAAAAGAATTAGATTGTCTCAAACTAACGCTACCTCAAATAAATAAAAATATAGCATGTGCTCTGCAGTGAAGGAACTCAAATCAACACAGTAGCCATCGATCTACACCCTTAGACACTGACTGTAGTCACAGCAGAGCCCAGACAACAGACAAAGGCCCGCATCTGACCTTTTTGAACCTTCCCACTAACCCTTTACAGACAATACAAACTTTTCCAGAAACGTCCGCCTTCAGTTCCTCCCCAAGACTTCTGCATAGCATGCCATTGCTTCAGAGCTGTCCTGGCACCCTTCTCATCAAAGACACAGTGGTCTTTCTGAACTGGGAATACTAGACAACATGCCTCCAACCCCAGCTACTCAGGAAGCCATGGCAATAGAATTTTAAATTCAAAACCGGTCCTGTCTAAAAATTAAGAAATAAGAGGGGTTAGGGATGCAGTTTGGTGGCAGAGTGCTTGCCTAGCATACTCAAGACACTGGAGTCAATACCCTCCCAAATTATCATGTTAAATATCCTTAAGAGACCAAATAACACTGTTTAACAACATAGCATACTGTAGAGCAGCAGCATTCCCCTTTGTAATCATGTGGCCAAGTGTGAGCTGTAGCCTGATGCTGTCAAGTAGCATTGAGAGTATCCCAATGTATACTGCCTCCCAGGAAAAAGATCAAAACTCAAACCTTGAAGTGCAATTTTCACTGCGCACATAACATTTTTGCAGCATTGTGAAATCAAACAACTGTAAGTGGAGTCATCATAAGTCCCTCTGTATGTGTGTATTAGTTACTTTCTGATGCTGTGATAAAACATGGACCAGAATGAACTTGTAGAAAGAAAGGGTCCATTTGGCTTACACTTCCATGTCACACAGTCCATCAGTGAGGGAAGTCAGGGCAGGAACTCAAGGCAGCTTGAAACAGAGATCATGGAAGAACACAGAAAATGGCTTGCTCTCCATGCCCTGCTTAGTTTGCTTTCTCATATAATCAAAGACCACCTGCCTGGGCATGGCATCACCCACCATAGTCAAGGGCCTTCCTGGTCAATCATTAATCAAGAAAATGCCCCACAGACTTGCCCACAGCCAATCCTATGTAGGAAATTCATCATTTGAGGTTCCCTCTTCCCAGGTGACCCTTGTTTCCATCAAGTTGATGAATAACCACCAATACAATATGGAAATATTCCAATGGGCCAGCAATCTTCTTAATAATCACAGCACGAGAACTTAATTACTACCTCACTCATGTGTTTATCTGATATGATTTTCAGATTCGCCTCTGCCTTGGTTCTCAGATCAACTCTGACCCGTCCAACATAGGTTTCAGGATTCCAGACTTTATCATGGTGGCAATCCTGCAGTGAGTTGAGTCAACCTCCTCCTAAGGAACTTATGTGGCTTAGTTCTAGAAGTTCATGTCTAAAAAAAAAAATCTCACACGGGTAGGGCAGGATCCATTGGATTTTAAGAACTTGCAAAATTATCAGTGATTACATTTACTGATTTGAAACTTCAATCCCAAGGGACTGTTCAGTGTACTGCTGTCCAAATCAGCCCTCACTTCTGCTTGAGCCTAGCTTAAAGGACGCTGCTCACACAGCACAACTGGGGTGCGAGGTCGGCTTTGTAGTCATGGTCATGCAGGACTGTGGGTATAGGGGTATCCACCTCTGCCTTGATTCTCAGATCAAGTCTGACCTGTCCAAGATAGGTTTCAGGATTCCAGACTTTATCATGGTGGCAATCCTGTAGTGAGTTGAGTCAGTCTCCTAGTCCTAAGTAACTTACGTGGCTTAGTGCTAGAATCTTCTGTTTTCCTAAAGTTACCTGGATATGAGCCTTGGAATTTGTTTAACATGTCATCCTCATGGGGAGTCAGCATGATGCTGAGGGACTAGTGGTAGTGGGCAGGGAGAGAAACTCTGTGTTTTCATTCAGATGAATAATGACCATGACAGACATTTGGGACCAAGACCTCATACACTAACTGCAGAGCACAGCTTACCAAAGCACAGTGGCTGGGCTATTTATACCAACCTAATAATATGTAGCTGCCTTTGATGCACCTGTTCTGAACCAACTCTTATGGTACAGCCTGAAAAATGGCAATCCTGAGTGGTTTTTACAACCAAAAAAGCCAAATATTTCCTGAAATTGCATAAGAAAATGACTGGCTCACCATTTGCTCATCAAACATTAATGCAACTACCAAGCACCAGGTCCTCAGCCAAGGGATGGAGACTGAAGTTGATGCATTCATGCTCCTAGGGCTCCTAATCCAATAGGTCGTGAGAGATAGACAGATGGACAATGGATTAATTACAACATAATAAAGATAATGGGGAAATATGCATGGTTATTTGTGAATAGACTATAGGTAGTCATAATTCAGCCCAAGAACACCTAA